CCCCTCCCTCCTCTCTCTCTCTCTCTCTCTCTCTCTCTCTCTCTCTCTCTCTCTCTTTCTCGTCTTTGCCAAGTCGGCTTTTTAGTTGCCACGGCCAGATTCGCTGGTATCGCTTTATACATTCATGCGCCTCGTTACGACAAGTATGATTGGGTCATTTCTAAAGTGCGATCTGTGCGCGTTTGAAAGTCCGGAAAACTACTTCGGAGTTAGTACTAAGGTCTGCTGCTGCTGCTGCAAACAAAAATTCGTCCTGTTCGCCGAAGTTGAAAACGAAATTGAAACGCGCGACGAGTTTTGTGAATAAAAATAGCAACTATCGATTTTGGTACATCTTTGGCTATCTTGAATGGAGGTCCCTCTTTTCTTCTTAAATCGGTAATCTAATTATATCCGAAACGAAATTTAAAGAAATCGAATGAATTTAATATCTGGTCGAAAATTGAATAACAACGCGCAGTTTGCGTCAATTTCAAGATCTTTTCGAAGAAATTTGCATGCCATTTTGCCATTTGATTAACGACTTCGGTATGACTCTTGCGGAATAATGCAGGTATTAATGACCATTCTTATTATTTACCTGGCGTGGATAAACTTACGTAATGAATAAATGATGTTCATTTGTCGAGTCCGTACGTCAAGTGACAATAATAATCCGCGATTATATCTGACATAAATCGGGAAATGATGGATGATCAATGTGCAAATAATAGATTCCTCTCGATTGTTTTTCTGCAATGAAATACGAAAAGCTTATCTCGATTTATGTATCGTTGACTGACTCGGCAAATCGCTGGATTACAATCTTATTACAGGTTCTCTCTCTTTCTCTCCCCGTCTCTATTTTTCGTGTAATTACCACGGAGTTTTTTGCCAGTTATAAAGTAGCTCTCGATAATGAATACAAAATAATTCTGACGCAGTCATAAAATTAATAACAGATTATTTTTACTCAGCGGCTTTACATAATAAGCGAAACCACTAACTGGACCGATTACCATACGTAATTAATTTTATTGCCGTTTTTGTTAGCTTATTATTAATATATCAATGTTATATTAATAGAAATAATATACACGTCACGATATATGGAAATCGGGCTATTTCTATAACATAGAGAGATTTCACGTTACGCGTCAGCACTTTGCATAATAAAGTCTTCTTTTTCAATGAAAACGAGCTCGAGTTCGTAATCCGATTATGCTCGTTAGTGATGCCGTGCGTTTGATTACTGTTTTTAAGGAAAGTCCCCGAATTTTCTTGAGCTTTTTTCAAGAATTTCCCAGTCATGCCTCTCGTGAACCTAAGCTCGGTTCCTTTATTTATTACACTCAAGGTTGCGAAGTAACTCGTTACTTGTAACGAAGTTACAGTTACAGTTACTTTTTTTTGGTAACCCTAACTTAATTTCGTTACTTTCTCTTCGTCTGTAACTGTAACTTAACTCATAATCAGTTACATACTAGTAACTAATTTAATAGTTACTTTATATATTTTTTAAACCCCCACAGATTGCACTAGGCCTTGCATAAGCGCATAAACGCCTTTATCGACATTGCACTTAACAATTTAATTGTAGATTTGATATTTTTATTTTCATTGCAAAAAAGTAACTGCAAAGTAACGATACGTTAGTTTTTTAGTAACTGCAACTATAACGCGTTACTTTTCAGAATTGGTAACTTGTAATTGTAGATACTTTTATAAAGTAACTTTCCCTACACTGAACATTTGATACGATATCGCTTGAAAAGGATCACAAACCATGGTCGAAACGTTGTGGGTTATGCACATAAAAATTGCCAGACACGATCAAGTTATCATTGAAGTCTTTTAATTATTACTGGCAACATTGAAGACTACTCCTTGTACTCAATTTCCTTTATCTGTCTCTTTCAGCGTACGGGTTTTCTGCAGCATCCTGTTGCGTACTGCAGCATGTCCGAGGTCCGGAAGTACGTTGTCGCCAGGTGGGATCCCGCGTACAAGAACTGCCTCAGCATCGTCCTGCCGGGTGGTTCGCTTCTTCTGCAAGCGAGTAACGCTTACACGAGGGACCAGTGGTATCACTCGATATTATGGAAGGTACGTTAACAATTCTCACTTATCACTGAAGGAAAAACGTTTATCATCCCTGTCAATTAATTGTTTTCCATCGAGTAGTTTTGGACGTAAAAGATTTGGAAGAATCACGTTTACACATACACGTTTATAAAATACGAATCTGGATTTAACATTTGTATTTTACTTGGCCACGTTACGAGATCTGCCACTGCTTGTTTATCGCGTTAGCAGCGATAAAAAATGATAGACTTTCGATCCATTTTTAACTCGTAACTTTTTAAGCTAACAATAGAGCAACGTGTTTATCCGTCTTTCGACCGGCGTTTTTCGTGCGGAGAACAATCGATGCTGTTCACGCGGATGCGAGCGCTGATATCAAATATTTTTTTTAATATCGGTCTTCCGATATGCCTGACGTGAGTCGGCAAAGAATGGCAGAGCAAACACAGGCGTTATTAACGCCCGACAATGCGAGGCTGAAGCAGGAGGAAGTGATAATGGCGCGAGAGGCGAACGTTCCCGATCGTCCTCGACCGGATCAAATCTCCCGGATACGTCAGCGTTTTATGGAGGTTGCCGCGAGCGGTTTAATATCCGGTCGGGAAATTAATCAGCGGGCCTCTTGTCGTGGCCGCGCGACGAGTAAATCGCAGCGATCGGGCCGACCATAACGATTGATTGAATTTTATTGTTTACGGCGTTATATTCCCGTTGAAAACATCGTCCGTACGGCCTGGATGTCGATGACTTCTGCCGAAATTGACCATATACGCCGAGGGGCAGATTTCTTTCAATTCAATTTCCAGCCTCATAGATACGGGCGATGCGTTGGAACGGCATTTTCGCGTTTAATTTCAGTTCATTTGCAACGACAATCTTTTTATTAATTAGCAGCAAACGAAATTTTATCCCTTTTGTCGACGTTAAACTCGTTATAACGAGAATGTCAGGATCGAAAGAGCTCGGATTTCGGTTCTACTTCAATTCGTTATGCAATACTCCTGCGTGTTATCTCTTGATTATAATATATAAGTTACCGTCTCACATTTTGGGGCCTTTTTATTTTCAAATTCTTAACCCTTGGAAGCCCACGTCATAAGAAGTCTTTTTAAAATAGCAAGTATTTATTAACAGTCAATTATATAATTTAAAAAAATTATTCCAATACACTCCTTGGAATGGTTTTGCAGTGAAACCATTGGCTTGAGATAAATATTTTGTTATAAAAATTTATTATTTTTAATAAAATTTACTTTTTCGAAATAAGAATTTACGATTATAAAAGATACATTCCTAATTATATTCATAAGACACTTTCTGTAAGACTCAGTGGTTAAGCATTGTATAGAAAAATTATGTTATGCGTCCTATGTTTTAAAAAATTATAATAAATTCAATTACATATTTTACAAGTCAAGAACTAAAGGCGATCTCGTTTCGAAATCAGGGAGCCATTGATGAAAGTAATACGAAACAGTGGTTTCACAGTAAAGCGACTGGGGCGGGGAAAAGGTTGACGATAGAACTTGCCGATGAAACAGTTCGAATTCGAGTTCGCGAATCACCCGGAGTCGATCCGTCTGCCCGTAGAAAAGCATCGTCAAGTACCAATGGTTCGTGTCGACGAGCACACGGGAGGAGGTGATATTGCGCGAACTGCGCACCATGGTGGACTTTGCCCTGTGGACGCCGCTCCAGGACGAGAGGGTGGCCGGTACGCCGCTGGAGGCGGTCGCCAAATTGCTGGACGAGTCCAGCGCGGAGCTAGACTCGGACGGGAAAACCGAGGAGGAAGCCGTTCGCGATCGCAGGAGCTGGGCGGAGGCCGTGCTCGGCGTGGTGGCACCTCTTCTGGAAAAAGCGGCGCCACCGACGGCGCTCGCGAGAGTACTCGCCAGACTGGCGCAACAGCATCCGCGCTCGCAGCTGGTCCCGATGCTCAGCCCGGCGATCACGCGATGCCTCAAGCACACCGTTGACTTTGGCAAGTCGCCGGACATGAGAAAGCTGTTGCAGGTGAGGTGTCTGATAAGTCTTACGTTACTTTGTTTGATTACACAGCGAGATCAAGGGAGATTGTCAGTTTCCTTTCGTTTTAGCGGCGTAAGGATTATACGTTAAAAAAAAGCTTTCGCTGTCTCGACGATTTTGGTTACACTGATAGAAAAAATATGTAGTATTGGAAACTGTAATTGCATAATAAAATAATTATAGTCAGGAATATCATTTTTATAGTAATTATTACTATAATATTAGCAGGGTTGGGAAGTAACGTGTGACTTGTAACGCCGTTACCATTTTCGTTACTTTTTTTCGGTAACGATCGTTACTTTTTTATGTCTGTAACGGTAACGGTAACGTCGTTGCATTTTTACAGTAACGGTAACGAATTCAGCCGTTACTTTTATCGTTACTTTAGTTCCCTATTATCTTTTATATCTGTTCAATAGATCGTGGGCTGGTCGCGCGCACTATTCTTGATTGGACAAAAATATTCCGATATTGGGCGCTGGAAGTCAATGTCACATGAGAATGCGCTGTAAACATTTATCGATGTCTTGATTCTGGGGCCCGATT